GTCGGATGTAAAGCGAAAAAGTCTTTCACCTATACATGGGTTTCAATTACATGTGTTTTAGTTTCAATCAAATAGACAGCAATTCATTTACCTCTTTCTTTCTCGTCTCGTCATTGAAATAATTACAGATATTATTGACAACAGTTCCCAATTGACCCACAGATAAATGGCCCCCATTTAACAGCTTCTCGTAATTATTTCGATAGTAATCCCAAATCACTTGTAAACCGTCCGGATTTGAGATAATATAATTCAAAACAGACAAATAATCCTGTTTTCGCACTTTTGTTACGTCTAATGAAAGGTCTAGTAATCTATTGACAAAATAAATAAATAAAGTTATGATATATTGTTTGAATTGTGTTTTAAAAAGTAAAAAACAATTCAATACTTATTAATGAGATCTGTGTTTGAAGTAAACGAAAGGGCGTTAAGATATGTAAGTTTGAGTACAGTTGAGGTCTCTTTCAAATACACATCCCATAGATTGTCCCAATCGGTGGTCAAACCAATCTGTTTGATGGCGTACTTCAGGACAGTTGACATTATATTTGGTTTGTAATTCACTGTAGGGTTAGCCCGCCATTCATAATACTTTTGCTGGACATCTGTGAGACATGGCTTATAATTGTTAGCGCAGACAAAGTCCACAATATTAGAACGCAAACGTTTCACTACATCTGTTTCGCCGGTCGTCTCATCCCATTTCAACGCCTCGTATCTCTCTTTCGCCAATTCATTCAAATACTGATCAAAGCCTTCCTTGTGTTCCGTCGACGACAGGGATCTCCTGATGGGAGCGAACAAACTGATGGCCACTGACCACGGAGTCAGGTGTGTCTCACGCTTCAGATACTTAGCCAACTCTAATGGCGTTACGTATGACAGGAGACCAGCTCTGGAGAGGTAGAAGGAGTCGGTGATAAAATTTGTGCGGTCACTGACTGTTAGTTGAGTTAATATATCGTTATCGTTGTTGACCAGAGCTCGCGTCCATTTACTCCAATCCTCTTCCGGATAATTCACAAAATAAAAGCCGTCGCTATTTGTGTTGATCTTCAAGAGTCCATTAGCGGTGGTGTCGACTGTTGTATCGATTGTCGCCGTTTTTGTTTTGATGAATTCAGTGGTCGTTGCCTTTGGTGCCAATGATTTATAATATGTCAAAGGAATCGTCCAAATAGTGCTATGAATTCATAAATATTTTAATTTTGTTAATTTTAAACAAATTAATAATGAGTTTCAATACTCGGAATCAAGTGTCTGTCCATTCGCTAAAAATCTTTCTTGAATTACAGTAATTTTGTTGGGAGTCGTCGGGTCTCTAGTGATGTTCACGTATGGAAATCCCGCTTTTGTGACCCAAGTGTCCATTAAATCATGGATTGTCACCTTATCTTTCTATAAACACCAAATAATGTATTTTAAATACGGTAATTACAAGTCAAACAAGCATTCAAGCAATACCTGAGAGAATATCTCATTAAGTTTATCGAAGAGATCCTTAGTTTCAACAGTTTTCAACACATTTGCAGATACATAGGCTTTAAGTGCGGACTGGAATTCAGTGCTTCCCATCACAGACTCAAGCATTCGGAGAATTGATGATCCCTTTAAAGTAATCACAATTGAAATTAGTTGAAATAAATACCACTATGCAGTTTATAAATAAATACCTTGTTGTAGACGATAGCACTGGTATAGGATCTCTCTTCTGGTTGCGTAACGGGCCTTACGATTGGATGAGAAGTGGCCGACGAGTCTGCCGTCAGTGCAGGCAACGTATCGGTCATCAAGAATAAGTCAAACTAGATTTGAAAATTAAATTGGACAATTTGGTAAATTGGCAAAGTAATATGATAAAATAATTACATAGTTCCAGGTGGGCTCCACATGATTAACAGCCGTGTACTCCAAATACGAGGCAAAAGCCTCGTTAAGCCATAGGTCTGACCACCACTTGCACGTGAATAAGTTGCCGAACCACTAATCAATGCAATTAAAAGTAAACCATTAATTAATATTGAAACTCACTCATTAAAACTATAAATTTTAATTACCATGTGCACTGTCTCGTGTGCGATGACGGCAATAACGGCCATCTTATTGGCCGAAGTGGACTCCTTCTCGTGCCATAACAGACCGGTCTCTCTGAATGTAATCAAACCCCAGTTCTCCATTGCACCGGCGCTAAAGTCTGGTATCGCTATGTAATCTGCTTTTGGCATATGTTGGCTGTATTTGTGGCCAAAATATCCATCGTAATAGTTCATCACTTGCGGTGTCACTGCCAACGAATAGCCCACCTTTTGCTGCTCAACACTCGACGCGCAGACCCTAACAGTATAGTCAACAACACCGGGAGCTGCGGGTTGGCACACAAAGTCGCTCACAACCATCGCCAACAAGTAGGTCACCATTGGTGGCGTCTTCTTATACTTTATGGTTTGAGTTCCGTCAGCATTGATGACAGGCGTGCCCTCCATCTCATTGTTGGAAATGGTGAGAGTTTTGTCCTGTTTTGAGGTAATAGTCATCTCGAAAGTAGATCTAAACGAAGGCTCATCAAAACAGGGGAACGCCTTACGGGCCGACGTGGCCTGGAATTGAGTGGCCGCCAGTCCCACAGGTTTACCATCTTTATAGTATGTACTCTTATAGAGTCCGTCCATATTCTCGTTGAGTTTGGACTTGAATACAAACTCCAGTATATACTCGTCTGCCGGTTGAATGTCTTTCATCTTGATTACAAACAGCTCGTACCGGGCGTTGCGTGTGGGCGCACCCGACTGTTCCAACGCAACGGCTGTTCCCTTCTTCTTGACAACAGAGGATGTGATGTCGAGAGTGTCGGCCGCGTGAACGATGAAGTATTGGGTCGGATGGCCGGCAGTCACGTCAATATTGGCAGTACCCGTGAATGTACTCTCTTCGACATCAATGTTGAATTCAAGCGCATAATTATTAGGTGTAATCTTCTCGTCGAGTCTGTACGAAGTCCACGGACACGACGCGGAGCGGCACTAATCATATGGTTTGTTAACGTTTTATAATTTGTGGCATTAAATGAAACAATTATTATATGTTTTCTTACCTCCAAGAAGTTGATCACTCGATCCTTATTTCTAGTCAACCACTGAATGTTAGCGTTAATCGTATCGATGGCCCGATTTTTGTCGTAATTAGCGATACCGAGAGTCTGGTCTTCGGCTAAGAAGTTCTCGACCTTTTGAATTGAAATATAATATTTATTTAAAAATAATTTAAAGTTTTAATAGTTCTTTGAAACCTCTCGTCTTCGGTCAGCAGTTGTAAAATAACTGCAAATACTGTTGAAAATACTTCCCAATTGTATTGTCGATAGTCTTTCCTGATATCGTTTGTGATTATCTTTAAAATAATCCCACAATATCTGCAACGCATCCCAATTGGCGCCCAAATTGTTGATAATAGCCGTTACTTCAGTATTGGTAACTAATTTTGAATCGAGTGATCGATCCAATAGTCTATTCAGAAATCAAAACCAATATTAGTTTAAGTCATAACTTTTTTTTGGCAAAGAGGAGACTAACGTTTTGATAAGAATAGGATCTCTGGTATACGACAATGCATTCAAATGGGTGTTCTTAACAATCGCTGTCTTCTCGTCCACGTATTTGGTCCACAAGTAGTCCCAATCGGATCGGTCTGCGCTCTGTCTCATGGCGTACCTCAACGTCGGTGCCAATAGATTTGGTCTCCATTTTGTTACCGATTTAAATTTTTCAAATTCTTCGAGAGCTTTCTTCAGACACGGCTCGTGGTATTGACTGCACATAAGCTCAATGATCGTTGACCTTAACCTCTTGTGTGTATCGGTTCCCGTGTCATCCCATCCGAGTTCGTTATACAAGTCTGTGCCTAAGTCTCTGAAAAACTTTTGCAACTCATCTCTGCGTTCAGTCGTTAACATATATTTCTGGATCTGTTTGAAGGACTCGATGGCCACAGTCCACGGGACGTAGTGTTTCTCTTTGGCCAAATACTGGGCCAACTGTAGGGGACGTATGACTGACCCGATGTTTGCTTTGGCCAAGAAGTGGGCGTCGATGAAGAGGTTTGCCCTATCGCTGGGCGTTAACGCTGTCACTACACTAGCTTTGTTGGTAATCAGAGCGTCAGTCCATTTGTCCCACTCTTCTTCGGGATAATTAATTAAATACATTCCTCTGCCGTCGGTATTGAATTTGATGAGTCCCTCAGCGCTGGCGTCCAAAGTAATGGTTATATCTTTGGTGTCCTCTTTTACAAATACAAGTGTTGTTTTCTTTGTGTCAAATCTCTCGTAATATGAGAGAGGAATTATCCATTTGGTCCTTCAATTCATATTTTGTTTGAATTTAGGTAAAAATAGATAATAATTTAGATATTTATTCATATAAATAGATTAAAGCTCTTACTTTTTCTCATCTAATTTACCATTTGACAAATATCTGTTTTGGACTATAGTGTATTTATTAGGCGTATCTGATTTGGTTACAGTAATGTATGGATAACCCGATTCTTCAGTCCATGCATTCATTAGGTCGTAAATATTTGGATCATCAGGGTCATTCTATTTGTAAAATTATAAATTATAAATTACATTTTGTAAATGTATATTCATAATAATTACATATTGATACGAGTCCTTCAGCGCAGTCAACAGATCCTGAGTGACAACAGTTTTGTATTGATTTGTAGTCAAATAATTACGAATTCCTGTTTGAAAGTTGTTCTCGTTTTTCAGATTTAATACAAATTCAAGCATTCGTATGACAGTCGCGCCCTTCACAGCGAGTTATCGAGAATAGGATTAATTTAATTTTTCAATTATTTTTAATGTAATCTTACCTTCGAGTAGACAATAGAGCTCGAGTATCGTTGAACGTCTTGAGGCGATTCCACAGTTTTTCGCACCAATGGGTGCGACGTCTCCACTGAATCGGCGTTTAAAGCAGTCATATAATCGGTTGTCATAAAAAGGTCCGCCTATTATATGGAGTTTAAAAGCAATTAAAACATAAATATACAGATAATGTGTAAAATCAATTATAAGATTTATTGTTATTGTACTCACATATTGCCAATCGGGTTGACTGTTGGCGACGGCCTTGTGTTCAAAAAAGGTGGCGAAACCCTCGTTGAGCCAAAAGTCTGACCACCAGTGACAGGTCACTACATTGCCGAACCACTAAATATCAATATAATAATATCATTAATAGTAATAGTAATTTACAAATTGATATCTATTTCTGTATTTCTAATATAAAAACAGTATTTCCGTACAAAGTGTGCCAACTCGTGAGCAATGATGGCCAACACTGACATCTTGTTGGCGGACGTGTTTTCCTGGTCCTGCCATACGAGTCGTGACTCTTTGAACGTAACTAAACCCCAGTTCTCCATCGCTCCGTACGCGAAGTCCGGTATACCTATCATATCAACTTTTGGCAGCGGGTAATCCATTGCCGTATAGTCTTTGGCCAAATAGTGGAGAACACTTCGCGTGGATTCGGCCGCGAACTCCAGTTTATCGCTTTGTACGGCAGAGGCGCAGACGCCCACATCCCAGCTGTCAATCTTTGACTGATGGCACACAAAATCGCTGACAACCATTGCCACCAAATACGTGACCATCGGAACCGGTGTCTCCTTGTATTGGGTCGTTACCCATCGGGTTTCCGGATCGGTGGTCGACTTCGCCACTGGCATATTGGATAGGGTTGTGGACATGTGCTCGTCGTGTATTAATGTCACCTCAAATATGGACTTAAACGACGGTTCGTCAAAACAGGGGAACGCTTTGCGGGCGTCAGTGAACTCAAACTGAGTGGACGCTAAACCCACTGTTTTGCCCTCACTGTTCACGTAATTGCTTCGGTAGAGACCCGATAGTCCGCCCAACAGTAGATTGCCCTCAAACTCGTAGACCAGTCGATAGGTTCCGGCGGCCACTTCTTGTGCCAATTGAATGACCCAAAAGTCGTGCGGTTTGTGATGGAAAGCGTTGACTACAGGTATCTCTTTGTTATCGGATTTGACAAACACTTGACTTTTGATAACATTGAGTATAGACGACGCGTGGACTATGAAGTATTCGGTGGGGTTTGTGGTCTGCACCTCAATGTCGACGTTTCCGTTGTACACATTTGTGGTGACATTCACTCGAATAGTGGGCTTGTATTTGATTGGCTTTACGGTGAAGTCGAGTCGGTATATACTCCACGGGCACTCTTTGTTTATACCGCACTATATGTCGGCACAATAGTGTACATAACAATTAGTTTTGCACATAATAAGACAATTAAATGTTGGTTTATATAATACAAACCCCATTAGCGGTCAACCATTTGCCGTAGTCGTCGCCCCTTTCGAAAATCCAGTCCATATTCTGTTGGATCCGATTTAAGCCATTCTCGCGGTTCGTGTTTGAAAGGCCGACGTTTGGATAGCGTCTGAGAAATGTGTCGACCTATTAATTACAAATAGGTTTGTTATGATTAAAATTGTATTACAATTTATAACTTTGAACAGAAACTAACTTCACTTCGTTTGACTACATCTCCAAAGTATTTGATAATATTATTGAAAACATTATTCAAATCATTTGCACTCAGTTTTCGTGTAAGCATTTGATAGTTGTTTTGGAAGAAATCCCAAGCAATTGGTAAACCCTCCGGAGTTTTGGCCATTTCTGATAGCAATGTCTGGAAATGAGACACAGAAACCACTTTATCGTCCAATGCTTTCACCAAAATGCTGTTCAAACAAATAATAATTAATACAAATCAAAAATAATTCATTAAAAAATATAACCAAACAAATGACATACTCTTTCAACTGTTCCGAGTTCTTAGACTTTGACAATGCGGTCAAATAACGAAGTTTGAAATTATCATTTTTATTGGCGTCTTTGTACTTTTTCCACACCTCTTCGAAGTCGTTGGGATCAGTGCTCTGTCTTAAGCCGAATGAGAGGACAAAACCGCCCAAATTGGGCGACAATTTGGCGGCGCCTGACTTCCATTGCGTGAACTCCTTATACGCCTCTTCGAGACACTGACGGTAACCGCTGTCGCAACTCATTTCTACGATCACAGCCCTCAAGCGTTTGGTCGTGTCGTCTCCGGAGCCGTCATTCCAGCCCAACCTCTTGTACTGCTTTTCGGTCAGAAAACTCAAAAACCGGTTCAAACTGTCCCTGTATTGGCTCATTGCCAGCCTGTCTCTGGTGTCCTGGTCAAACATACTGCGGTACATTGACCNGTCGTGTCGTCTCCGGAGCCGTCATTCCAGCCCAACCTCTTGTACTGCTTTTCGGTCAGAAAACTCAAAAACCGGTTCAAACTGTCCCTGTATTGGCTCATTGCCAGCCTGTCTCTGGTGTCCTGGTCAAACATACTGCGGTACATTGACCATGGTGTGAAGTGCGGCTCGTGCACCAGGTATTTCGATATGTCTAGCGCTTTGACCAGGGGCAATTTATTGGCTTTGGCCAGGTAGAAAGCGTCCATGATGAACTCGGCCCTATCGCTCACCGATAGTTTGTTCACAATGTCGTTCTCGTTGTTGACCAACGCTTTACTCCATTTGTCCCAATCGTCGAGCGGATAGTTCACAAAATACATACCNAGAAAGCGTCCATGATGAACTCGGCCCTATCGCTCACCGATAGTTTGTTCACAATGTCGTTCTCGTTGTTGACCAACGCTTTACTCCATTTGTCCCAATCGTCGAGCGGATAGTTCACAAAATACATACCGCTGTAATCGGTGTTAAACTTAATCAAACCGTTCAGTTTGGGGTCAATGTTGACCAAATCAATTGTCTGGGTCTTTGTTTTCACTATTGTTAGCGTATTTTGGTCGTAACCCTCGTCGTGATAGTATGATAGAGGTATTGACCAAACAGTGCTAACAAATGGAGTTATAGTTAGATAAATCAAGTTGATAAATCATGTCGTCTATTAAACGTACTCTTTATCGGGTTTTTGTCCGTTTGCGAGAAACCTCTCCTGAATTATAGTGATTTTGTTTGCGTCGGTTTCGTCTCTCGTTATGTTAATGTATGGAAAGCCAGCCTCTGTTACCCAGTTGTGCATCAAATCCTTTATAGTTGTCCCTAAATCCTAAACAAATTAACAAAATAATTAATTAATTAATTTATAAATTATGTGATTTAAGGTTTCGTACGGTAGGAAACTCTTCTTGCAGCAAATCCCACAGTTTTTGAGTTATAACAGTTGTGTATTGATTTGCTTTAAGGTATTTTTGTATTCCTGTCTGAAACTTCTGGGGACCCATCGCTCTCTCCATCATTCGGATGACTGTCGATCCCTTTAATTGATTCACAATTTAAATATAAACATAATTCACAATTAATACAAATAAATACTAATCATCGGGCAATTGAATAAAAGGCAAACCTTGTTGTATACAATGGCACTCGAATAAGACATATCCGACGGCTTATTAAGGATGCGGACAATGGGCTGCGAAGTCGGCGATGAATCGGCGGACACAGCGCTCGACAGATCGTAAAATACAAACAAATCCCACTATATTTTCGACAGTGATTTCAAAAAAGCATAATGTTTTAAGACTATGTAAAAGTATAGATTCAATACAATACTCACGTAATCCCATGTTTTCTCAACCATAGCAGTGGCCGGATATTCCATATACGAAGCAAAACCCTCATTAAGCCATAAATCGCCCCAGAATTCACACGTTAGCATATTTCCAAACCACTGAAAATAGTAATACATTTTAATACAATGCAAATGCATTTCAACAGAATTTTGTCCGCAAAAAAATCATAAAAAATTCATATAATAAATGGATTTAATGTGAACGACATGTGTTGCTAACCATATGCGCCAACTCGTGGGCTATGATTGACGCGACGCTCATTTTGGACGCGCTGTTGTCCTCGTCGGCGGTCCAGAGGAGAGCGGTCTCTCTGAACTTGACGAGACCCCAGTTCTCCATCGCACCGGCGCTGAAGTCGGGAATGGCCACCAAATCAGACTTTGGCAGTTGGTATTTGAAGTCCAGGTACTTTTCAAACTCGTCAAACACTTTGGGCGTCACGTCCAGAGCGTACTGTAGTTTGTGTTGTTTGGCGGGTGAGGCGCACACCCGTATCACGTAACCCAAGTCGTGGCTGTTGTCCGTACGGCACACAAAATCGCTGACCATAATGGCCACTAAATAAGTGACCATCGGTTTTGAGCGCTGATATTTGGTGGTAGTCCAGCCTTTGGTGGGTACGTCCACTTGTTGGCCAGTGATTGGCATATTAGTGATGGTCAGAGTGTTGCCCGAGTCGTGGATTACTGTCAAATCAAACTCAGACCTAAACGACGGCTCATCGAAAGAGGGAAACGCTTTTCGAGCAGAAGTCGACTGGAACTGAGAGGCGGCCAAACCTATGGTCTTGCCGTCCAATTCATAGCTGCTCTTATAGAGACCGGAGAGACCGCCGAGCAGTAGGTTTGACTCGTACTCAAAGATTAGTCGATACGTGTTGGCCGTTGTCTTAGTATCCATTCGGATGACAAAGAATTGAAGGGGCGAGTAGTGAAAGGTTTGCTTAATGGCCAGATCTGTCTCCGAGCCCTTCAGCAAAACTCGGGTCTTCTTAATGGTCAGAATGTCTGCCGAATGAACGATAAAGTATTCGACGTCTTTCTCGGTCTTCACTTCAATCTCGACGTTTCCGCTGAACTCATTTGAAACTGTATTCACTTGTAATGTCAGATAATACTGAAGAGGTATCACTTGTCGGTCGAGACGGTACGTAATCCACGGGCAGGTAATCGATGGGCATTGAGTTGTGATCCATTCGATCACTTTATTCTTGTTATTCTTAATCCAATTAATGTTTGTGTCCAACACTTCAACGGCTTTCTCTCTGTCCAGTTTGCCGGCGCCGGCGTTCGGGTATTGCTTGAAAAAGTCTAATACCTTTATAAACACATTAATTGTATTGATTAATACACAAACTATTGTCTGTTAACTTCTGTATGTATTGAATACCTGTGCCTTTTGAACATCACTCGTAAATAAAGTGCTTAAAGTGTATACAATCCTTCCGAGTCCAGAGTTATTGATTGTAAATCTATGTAATTTTTGCGTTAATTATTTATTTTGATTTAAATTCAAAATTTAATTAATTCTAACCTATCAACAATTTTGTTATAATTATTCCTATAGTAATCCCAAACCATATCCCTTCCGACCAGACTATTGACCGCCAGATTAGTCAAGAATTGGAAAAAGTCGTGTTTCCTTAAAAAGCTCTCGTCTTCCGCTTTGGCTAAAAGTCTGGAAATCAAATTAAATTTTATATTAAAATTTAAAATTACGTAAAAATACAATCAATTAGTTTGACATACGCTGCGATTTGATCCTTATTCCCAGTGGACGTCAATCCCTGTAAATAAAGCAGTTTTTTCTGCGCCGATAGACCGGGCTTTTGGTATTCGTCCATCAAGTGCTTGAATTCAGTGTCGCCGCCGTATCGGATGCCGTACTTCAATACCAGAGACAACAGATTGGGAGCAATGGTTGGACTGGTTTTCCACTCATTAAACTTCTGAACCGCTGTCTGTACGCACTCTGGCATCTGATAACCGCACGCCATGTCTAACACCACTGTCCGCAAGCGTTTGATTTGACCGGACTCTGTGGTCACTTCATTCCAACCCAGTTTCGTGTATTGATCTCCGATTAGTCCACTTATGTAGTGATTCAGAGCGATCTCTGCGTCCGAATTGATCAGATTCTTCAGGAATCCCAACATTGTCTGAGCGGTGGTCCACGGGATCAGCGAGTCCTCGGCCTTCAGATATTTCGACAAATCCAGGGCTATATCGTAGTCAAGTCGTCCACTTCTGGCCAAATAGAAGGCATCGTTTATCAGTTCCGAGCGATCCAATGGTGATAATCGCTGCCGACTTTTCTCGTTCAGCAACTCTTTGGTCCACTCTTTCCAGTCGTTGACGGCATAGTTGACAATATAGAGACCCGTTTGGCCCACATTTATGTTTATTAAATCAGAGGTTGTCTTCAAGTCGATTGTCTGCTCGCTGTCGTCCAGCCATTCGGTGTATACAAAGCTATTGGCCGCTCCCGGGGCTGAGTATGTGATCGGGATTTTCCACACATAGCTATGAAACATAAGTTTTAATTAGTTTTATTGCCAAATAAATACAACTATCCATACCTTGTGTTTGATTTGGTATAATCTTTGAGAAACAATTCCTGTTTAAGCGTAATCTGATTGGGATTTGTGTCGCTTCGGGTAACTGTCACCACTGGGAACCCCTTTCTTGTGACCCAAGTTTCCATTATTTCCGACACATTTAGTCTCTTTAAAAGTAGACATAAATAATTTTTAAAGGTTTCACAAGAAATAATTAAATTACTTGTTGACTGTCTTGAGTGAGTTGTGTCCAGAGGTCTTCCGTCAGTGTGTTTTCATACGAATGTTTAATGAGATAATTCTTGATCCCAATCCGGAAATCGTCGCCTAAAGCCGTTTCCAACATCCGAAGAATGGCCGCTCCCTTCAGGACATCAAAACGGTATTTATTTAAGCATTAATTTCAATGGAAACACAAAAAGGTTTTCAATTCAAACCTTTCCATAAGTGATGGCATCGAAGACCGATGAGATATCGTCGGCATTCTGTACGGAACCCACGATTGGATGTGTATTGGGTGTGGAGTCGGCCTCAAACACACGGCTCAACTCATCCAAAGCGAATATCTCGTCCTTTAGTAAGAAATAAAATTAAGTTTTTAATTATGATTAAAATTGTATTTAAGAAAATCAAATGCTATTAATGTTTGTCTCACATATTTCCACTCGGTTTCCACTTTTCCTACGGCTTTATATGACATATAAGTAGCGAAGCCTTCGTTTAACCACAAATCATCCCACCATTTGGTTGTCACCAGATTTCCAAACCACTGATTAGACCGAAGAATTAGTTTAATTGTTTCATTGATCGTAAATACATGATGTGATGTGATTTTTATAACAACTTTTACCAAATTCACTCAAAATTCAGTGTTAGTGTTACATTGAATTACAGTTTTGTTACAACTTTTCAATTTACTTCTTATGATAACAGTTTTAGAAAACTCATACAACAAATACAGGATTCTGTGTTCACATCTATTACAGTACTATTGAATACTAACAGACTATTCATTGTAAGCATATCTCTGATCACTCCGAAGCTAATTATTGTTTAAAATTGTCTTTAATTGAATCAAATTATAAGTAATTGTAGTCAACGCTTACCATATGTGCCAATTCGTGCGCAATAATCATACAAACTTGCATTTGACTTTTGGTGGTCGACTCTGTCTCGTCGTAAAACAGATAGACCTCCCGATAGGTGACTAAACCCCAGTTCTCCATCGCACCGGCGCTAAAGTCCGGGACCGCTATGTTATCCAATTTGGGCAATGGATAGGGAATCTGGAAGTACTCGCTCTCATAAAACTTCAATATCGCTGGCGTTTTGTCCAAAGCATAGTCCAGTTTAGGCTTATTGCCGGGCGCTCCGCACACTCGCACCCGCTTATCACTGGGACTCACGAAGCATTCAAAGTCGCTAACAACGAGTGCCACCAGATATGTGACCATTTTGACCGACGGATCAAATTTGGTGACTTTGAGGCCGCCGTCGGCGATGACGCTCTCGCGGACCGGCATATTGGAGATGACGTTATATTGGGCCGAATGAGTGATCGTGATGTCAAACGTGGCCTTAAACTGCGGCTCATCGAAACAGGGCAGCGCCTGTCGGGCGTACGTCGACTGGAACTGAGTGGTGGCCAAACTCTTTGACGTTCCGGTGCTGTCGGTGTACACACTCTTGTAGAGACCGTTCAAACCGGTGCTGAGTTTGCCGTTGAATTCGAGGTACAAGTGATAAATGTCGGCCCGTATTGTGGTGTCAGTCGGTATGACATAGAAATCGTTGTCCGCGTAAACAATTGGTTCACTCTTTTCGTTCAATGGCTTTTCATCGGCACTATTAATGTCTCCCAAATAGGCCTTTGATTCTGTGATTGTGAGACCTTTTGAGTGAAGAACAAACTGTTTGATCGGTTTCTTGACGTTCACTTCAATCCTAACGGTTCCGCTGAATGTATCGGCGCTGAGATCTATAGTCCAGTGAACTTTGTAGGCCTGAGGCACCACTTGTGGATCCAAACGCCAGTTGAGCCACGGATTCACCGACGGGCTATTAGTGTTGAGCCACTGAATCACACTTTCCTCGTGAGTGGTCGACCATTTGATATTATTCTGGACCCTCTCTAAGGCCTGTTTTCGGGCATTTTCTGTGGCGCCCGACTCCGGGTTCTCCGCGAAGAATGCCTTCAACTCATTGAGTTGTGTTTCGGTATTAAAATTATTGGTCACTGAAGTGATGTAAGAGCCGAGCCGTCGGTCGTTGATTTTAAACCGGTCGACGAGTTTGTGCCAGTTTTGGCGCATATAATTCCAGACCAATTGCCGACCCGTCAGACTGTTTGCGGCGATACTTTGCTGGAAAGTGAAGAAGTCCTGGTCGTTGACAATCACCGCATCTTCTGATTTGGCGATCAGTTTGGAGAGCAGCTGAGAGTCGTCGACACTCGTCAACGCTGTCAACAGTTTGGACTTCTCTGCCGAAGACACTTCTGTTAGCCATAAATCTAACACTTGGTTCCACTCGTTGTCGTTTGTGTTCACTTGAATGCCGTACTTATAGGCGTTGGCCCTAATGTCGGCTCCAATCGGTTGTCCGGTTGTCAGGAATTGTTTGAATTGATTGTTGGCCTCTTGAAGGCAGTCCTGATTACCACTACTGCACGCCAACGATATTATGTAATTCCGAAGTAATCTGAAAATATTTATATAATTTTATGGTAAAATTTATATTTTTGCGATATTATTTATGTGAATAATTTTTTAAAGTTTACAGAAGTTTTTAATAAAATTAAATTTTATTTTTAGTGGTAAAACAATCTCTAATTATAGATAAATTGATTAATTTGCGAAATGTTTTTAATGTTAAGTTTGATTTTCTTAAAATATTCAAGTATTTGATCTCAATTCATGAAATGTGAAAATTAATTATTTGTTATGTAGTGTGATATTCATGTGACCCACAAATACCTTTGTACTAAACAAACATCTTTAGCATAATTTTGTTATTTTTCAAATTCAATGCTTGTTTTTCCAACTCATTCTTGTTTCTCAAACATTATTAATAAATAATAAATGTTTTTTTTGTAAATTTTGAAGTATAAAGAATTAATGAACAGCTAATTAAATTGCCATTAATTTACCACAAAAATTGAGAGTTTTATTATCATAACAAGAAAATTAGAAATTAAAATTTTATATCTTATTTTTTTACTAATAAAGCATATAATATACTGTAATTGTAAAATACACACTAATAATCCCTAATGAGCCGAATATATGATATTATTTCTCTAAATAATGATGACATGGTTTCGATAGAAAAACTAATTGCAAATAATTAAACCAAAATCCCTGTCATCGTAACAGCGATAGTGTTTTTACTCATTAAAATATTTTTTAAAAAATATTTTAGTTTAATAATTTGTTAGTTTCTAATTTTGGTTAATTAAGTAAATATTGTGGGAAAAATAACTAATAACCAACATATTGCATTTACCAAAATTATCACAGTAATTATAATTGATCCATAATTTCACAAAACATAATAATAATGAGCGCATAATTAACAATAAAAAATTTACTTTTGCTGAAAAGTTTCACTACTTCTGGCATTAGATTGCCATCCGAGCGAAGCATACATACTATCGGTCATCTGTTTCTTGAATTCTTTTACAGTTAAGCCTCCGTTAGAAGAGCTGAGCTTATCGTTGAGCCGAGCGATCGCACTGTTGGCGGCCATCCATGGGATCAGATTGTCCTCATCCTTCACATAACTGATTAGATCCATAAATGTCTTGTAGGACAAGAGTCCGCTC